TAGATTCCCAGGTTGGGGTTAGTGCTGGGGTTAGGGTTAGGGGTCAGCGCTATGGTTAGGGTTAGGGTGAGCGCCATGGTTAGGGTTAGGGCTAGATGCCAGGCTGGGGTTATCATCAGCAGCCGCCCGGACTGCGAGTCGGCTGATTTTTTGCAGGTCGGGACCCAGGAAACGCGGCGACAGTGGACGTGGCACTGGCTGGATAGGTTGGGGAAATAATCCCGTCTCCCCTAAATTGCCCTACTTGGGTCGGCGGGGAGCGGGGAATGCACGGGCCTACGCCCCGTCGGACACGCTCCCCAGGTCCCGAAAGGCTGGCGGCTACTTCCGCCAGCTGAACCGTATTTGGTCTGGTGTGTATTAATTTGTAATGAAGTTCATGTAGTCCTATTTGACTTACTCACACATACACAATTCATACATGATCTATATTTGATCTATGTATCCCTACAATGTGCCTGCTGCGTCGACGTTTCGACCTAATTTGGTCTTCTTCAGGACTGGGCACATGTAACAGCTAAGGCTGCTGGGCCCCAATTCATAGGGGTGGACCAGCCAGCAGCCAGAAAGAAATGAAAAGCCCTACCAACTTGTCTCCCTTTTATATCCCCTCCGCCAAAAATTAGACTGAATTTACTTGTATTTAAGTTATTTTCTACTCTATTTAGTTTTTGAAATCTTAACCCTTTCTGCACCGCTTGTGCTTTAAATCCATATTAATTATGTTTATTCACATATTTGTGCTTTTAATAAACAAATTAATAGGTATTTTTGATCCCAATATTAGGGTTAGGGTCCTGCTTGACCTTTGACCTCTGTGGCCTGCTTGGCCGTTGGTCATTAAGTTGCCTCTAATGGTTAGGGTTAGGGCGAGTCCCAGGTTAGGGTTAGAATCCCATACTAGGGTTAGGGTTAGGGTTAGATTCCCAGGTTGGGGTTAGTGCTGGGGTTAGGGTTAGGGGTCAGCGCTATGGTTAGGGTTAGGGTGAGCGCCATGGTTAGGGTTAGGGCTAGATGCCAGGCTGGGGTTATCATCAGCAGCCGCCCGGACTGCGAGTCGGCTGATTTTTTGCAGGTCGGGACCCAGGAAACGCGGCGACAGTGGACGTGGCACTGGCTGGATAGGTTGGGGAAATAATCCCGTCTCCCCTAAATTGCCCTACTTGGGTCGGCGGGGAGCGGGGAATGCACGGGCCTACGCCCCGTCGGACACGCTCCCCAGGTCCCGAAAGGCTGGCGGCTACTTCCGCCAGCTGAACCGTATTTGGTCTGGTGTGTATTAATTTGTAATGAAGTTCATGTAGTCCTATTTGACTTACTCACACATACACAATTCATACATGATCTATATTTGATCTATGTATCCCTACAATGTGCCTGCTGCGTCGACGTTTCGACCTAATTTGGTCTTCTTCAGGACTGGGCACATGTAACAGCTAAGGCTGCTGGGCCCCAATTCATAGGGGTGGACCAGCCAGCAGCCAGAAAGAAATGAAAAGCCCTACCAACTTGTCTCCCTTTTATATCCCCTCCGCCAAAAATTAGACTGAATTTACTTGTATTTAAGTTATTTTCTACTCTATTTAGTTTTTGAAATCTTAACCCTTTCTGCACCGCTTGTGCTTTAAATCCATATTAATTATGTTTATTCACATATTTGTGCTTTTAATAAACAAATTAATAGGTATTTTTGATCCCAATATTAGGGTTAGGGTCCTGCTTGACCTTTGACCTCTGTGGCCTGCTTGGCCGTTGGTCATTAAGTTGCCTCTAATGGTTAGGGTTAGGGCGAGTCCCAGGTTAGGGTTAGAATCCCATACTAGGGTTAGGGTTAGGGTTAGATTCCCAGGTTGGGGTTAGTGCTGGGGTTAGGGTTAGGGGTCAGCGCTATGGTTAGGGTTAGGGTGAGCGCCATGGTTAGGGTTAGGGCTAGATGCCAGGCTGGGGTTATCATCAGCAGCCGCCCGGACTGCGAGTCGGCTGATTTTTTGCAGGTCGGGACCCAGGAAACGCGGCGCACAGTGGACGTGGCACTGGCTGGATAGGTTGGGGAAATAATCCCGTCTCCCCTAAATTGCCCTACTTGGGTCGGCGGGGAGCGGGGAATGCACGGGCCTACGCCCCGTCGGACACGCTCCCCAGGTCCCGAAAGGCTGGCGGCTACTTCCGCCAGCTGAACCGTATTTGGTCTGGTGTGTATTAATTTGTAATGAAGTTCATGTAGTCCTATTTGACTTACTCACACATACACAATTCATACATGATCTATATTTGATCTATGTATCCCTACAATGTGCCTGCTGCGTCGACGTTTCGACCTAATTTGGTCTTCTTCAGGACTGGGCACATGTAACAGCTAAGGCTGCTGGGCCCCAATTCATAGGGGTGGACCAGCCAGCAGCCAGAAAGAAATGAAAAGCCCTACCAACTTGTCTCCCTTTTATATCCCCTCCGCCAAAAATTAGACTGAATTTACTTGTATTTAAGTTATTTTCTACTCTATTTAGTTTTTGAAATTTAACCCTTTCTGCACCGCTTGTGCTTTAAATCCATATTAATTATGTTTATTCACATATTTGTGCTTTTAATAAACAAATTAATAGGTATTTTTGATCCCAATATTAGGGTTAGGGTCCTGCTTGACCTTTGACCTCTGTGGCCTGCTTGGCCGTTGGTCATTAAGTTGCCTCTAATGGTTAGGGTTAGGGCGAGTCCCAGGTTAGGGTTAGAATCCCATACTAGGGTTAGGGTTAGGGTTAGATTCCCAGGTTGGGGTTAGTGCTGGGGTTAGGGTTAGGGGTCAGCGCTATGGTTAGGGTTAGGGTGAGCGCCATGGTTAGGGTTAGGGCTAGATGCCAGGCTGGGGTTATCATCAGCAGCCGCCCGGACTGCGAGTCGGCTGATTTTTTGCAGGTCGGGACCCAGGAAACGCGGCGACAGTGGACGTGGCACTGGCTGGATAGGTTGGGGAAATAATCCCGTCTCCCCTAAATTGCCCTACTTGGGTCGGCGGGGAGCGGGGAATGCACGGGCCTACGCCCCGTCGGACACGCTCCCCAGGTCCCGAAAGGCTGGCGGCTACTTCCGCCAGCTGAACCGTATTTGGTCTGGTGTGTATTAATTTGTAATGAAGTTCATGTAGTCCTATTTGACTTACTCACACATACACAATTCATACATGATCTATATTTGATCTATGTATCCCTACAATGTGCCTGCTGCGTCGACGTTTCGACCTAATTTGGTCTTCTTCAGGACTGGGCACATGTAACAGCTAAGGCTGCTGGGCCCCAATTCATAGGGGTGGACCAGCCAGCAGCCAGAAAGAAATGAAAAGCCCTACCAACTTGTCTCCCTTTTATATCCCCTCCGCCAAAAATTAGACTGAATTTACTTGTATTTAAGTTATTTTCTACTCTATTTAGTTTTTGAAATCTTAACCCTTTCTGCACCGCTTGTGCTTTAAATCCATATTAATTATGTTTATTCACATATTTGTGCTTTTAATAAACAAATTAATAGGTATTTTTGATCCCAATATTAGGGTTAGGGTCCTGCTTGACCTTTGACCTCTGTGGCCTGCTTGGCCGTTGGTCATTAAGTTGCCTCTAATGGTTAGGGTTAGGGCGAGTCCCAGGTTAGGGTTAGAATCCCATACTAGGGTTAGGGTTAGGGTTAGATTCCCAGGTTGGGGTTAGTGCTGGGGTTAGGGTTAGGGGTCAGCGCTATGGTTAGGGTTAGGGTGAGCGCCATGGTTAGGGTTAGGGCTAGATGCCAGGCTGGGGTTATCATCAGCAGCCGCCCGGACTGCGAGTCGGCTGATTTTTTGCAGGTCGGGACCCAGGAAACGCGGCGACAGTGGACGTGGCACTGGCTGGATAGGTTGGGGAAATAATCCCGTCTCCCCTAAATTGCCCTACTTGGGTCGGCGGGGAGCGGGGAATGCACGGGCCTACGCCCCGTCGGACACGCTCCCCAGGTCCCGAAAGGCTGGCGGCTACTTCCGCCAGCTGAACCGTATTTGGTCTGGTGTGTATTAATTTGTAATGAAGTTCATGTAGTCCTATTTGACTTACTCACACATACACAATTCATACATGATCTATATTTGATCTATGTATCCCTACAATGTGCCTGCTGCGTCGACGTTTCGACCTAATTTGGTCTTCTTCAGGACTGGGCACATGTAACAGCTAAGGCTGCTGGGCCCCAATTCATAGGGGTGGACCAGCCAGCAGCCAGAAAGAAATGAAAAGCCCTACCAACTTGTCTCCCTTTTATATCCCCTCCGCCAAAAATTAGACTGAATTTACTTGTATTTAAGTTATTTTCTACTCTATTTAGTTTTTGAAATCTTAACCCTTTCTGCACCGCTTGTGCTTTAAATCCATATTAATTATGTTTATTCACATATTTGTGCTTTTAATAAACAAATTAATAGGTATTTTTGATCCCAATATTAGGGTTAGGGTCCTGCTTGACCTTTGACCTCTGTGGCCTGCTTGGCCGTTGGTCATTAAGTTGCCTCTAATGGTTAGGGTTAGGGCGAGTCCCAGGTTAGGGTTAGAATCCCATACTAGGGTTAGGGTTAGGGTTAGATTCCCAGGTTGGGGTTAGTGCTGGGGTTAGGGTTAGGGGTCAGCGCTATGGTTAGGGTTAGGGTGAGCGCCATGGTTAGGGTTAGGGCTAGATGCCAGGCTGGGGTTATCATCAGCAGCCGCCCGGACTGCGAGTCGGCTGATTTTTTGCAGGTCGGGACCCAGGAAACGCGGCGACAGTGGACGTGGCACTGGCTGGATAGGTTGGGGAAATAATCCCGTCTCCCCTAAATTGCCCTACTTGGGTCGGCGGGGAGCGGGGAATGCACGGGCCTACGCCCCGTCGGACACGCTCCCCAGGTCCCGAAAGGCTGGCGGCTACTTCCGCCAGCTGAACCGTATTTGGTCTGGTGTGTATTAATTTGTAATGAAGTTCATGTAGTCCTATTTGACTTACTCACACATACACAATTCATACATGATCTATATTTGATCTATGTATCCCTACAATGTGCCTGCTGCGTCGACGTTTCGACCTAATTTGGTCTTCTTCAGGACTGGGCACATGTAACAGCTAAGGCTGCTGGGCCCCAATTCATAGGGGTGGACCAGCCAGCAGCCAGAAAGAAATGAAAAGCCCTACCAACTTGTCTCCCTTTTATATCCCCTCCGCCAAAAATTAGACTGAATTTACTTGTATTTAAGTTATTTTCTACTCTATTTAGTTTTTGAAATCTTAACCCTTTCTGCACCGCTTGTGCTTTAAATCCATATTAATTATGTTTATTCACATATTTGTGCTTTTAATAAACAAATTAATAGGTATTTTTGATCCCAATATTAGGGTTAGGGTCCTGCTTGACCTTTGACCTCTGTGGCCTGCTTGGCCGTTGGTCATTAAGTTGCCTCTAATGGTTAGGGTTAGGGCGAGTCCCAGGTTAGGGTTAGAATCCCATACTAGGGTTAGGGTTAGGGTTAGATTCCCAGGTTGGGGTTAGTGCTGGGGTTAGGGTTAGGGGTCAGCGCTATGGTTAGGGTTAGGGTGAGCGCCATGGTTAGGGTTAGGGCTAGATGCCAGGCTGGGGTTATCATCAGCAGCCGCCCGGACTGCGAGTCGGCTGATTTTTTGCAGGTCGGGACCCAGGAAACGCGGCGACAGTGGACGTGGCACTGGCTGGATAGGTTGGGGAAATAATCCCGTCTCCCCTAAATTGCCCTACTTGGGTCGGCGGGGAGCGGGGAATGCACGGGCCTACGCCCCGTCGGACACGCTCCCCAGGTCCCGAAAGGCTGGCGGCTACTTCCGCCAGCTGAACCGTATTTGGTCTGGTGTGTATTAATTTGTAATGAAGTTCATGTAGTCCTATTTGACTTACTCACACATACACAATTCATACATGATCTATATTTGATCTATGTATCCCTACAATGTGCCTGCTGCGTCGACGTTTCGACCTAATTTGGTCTTCTTCAGGACTGGGCACATGTAACAGCTAAGGCTGCTGGGCCCCAATTCATAGGGGTGGACCAGCCAGCAGCCAGAAAGAAATGAAAAGCCCTACCAACTTGTCTCCCTTTTATATCCCCTCCGCCAAAAATTAGACTGAATTTACTTGTATTTAAGTTATTTTCTACTCTATTTAGTTTTTGAAATCTTAACCCTTTCTGCACCGCTTGTGCTTTAAATCCATATTAATTATGTTTATTCACATATTTGTGCTTTTAATAAACAAATTAATAGGTATTTTTGATCCCAATATTAGGGTTAGGGTCCTGCTTGACCTTTGACCTCTGTGGCCTGCTTGGCCGTTGGTCATTAAGTTGCCTCTAATGGTTAGGGTTAGGGCGAGTCCCAGGTTAGGGTTAGAATCCCATACTAGGGTTAGGGTTAGGGTTAGATTCCCAGGTTGGGGTTAGTGCTGGGGTTAGGGTTAGGGGTCAGCGCTATGGTTAGGGTTAGGGTGAGCGCCATGGTTAGGGTTAGGGCTAGATGCCAGGCTGGGGTTATCATCAGCAGCCGCCCGGACTGCGAGTCGGCTGATTTTTTGCAGGTCGGGACCCAGGAAACGCGGCGACAGTGGACGTGGCACTGGCTGGATAGGTTGGGGAAATAATCCCGTCTCCCCTAAATTGCCCTACTTGGGTCGGCGGGGAGCGGGGAATGCACGGGCCTACGCCCCGTCGGACACGCTCCCCAGGTCCCGAAAGGCTGGCGGCTACTTCCGCCAGCTGAACCGTATTTGGTCTGGTGTGTATTAATTTGTAATGAAGTTCATGTAGTCCTATTTGACTTACTCACACATACACAATTCATACATGATCTATATTTGATCTATGTATCCCTACAATGTGCCTGCTGCGTCGACGTTTCGACCTAATTTGGTCTTCTTCAGGACTGGGCACATGTAACAGCTAAGGCTGCTGGGCCCCAATTCATAGGGGTGGACCAGCCAGCAGCCAGAAAGAAATGAAAAGCCCTACCAACTTGTCTCCCTTTTATATCCCCTCCGCCAAAAATTAGACTGAATTTACTTGTATTTAAGTTATTTTCTACTCTATTTAGTTTTTGAAATCTTAACCCTTTCTGCACCGCTTGTGCTTTAAATCCATATTAATTATGTTTATTCACATATTTGTGCTTTTAATAAACAAATTAATAGGTATTTTTGATCCCAATATTAGGGTTAGGGTCCTGCTTGACCTTTGACCTCTGTGGCCTGCTTGGCCGTTGGTCATTAAGTTGCCTCTAATGGTTAGGGTTAGGGCGAGTCCCAGGTTAGGGTTAGAATCCCATACTAGGGTTAGGGTTAGGGTTAGATTCCCAGGTTGGGGTTAGTGCTGGGGTTAGGGTTAGGGGTCAGCGCTATGGTTAGGGTTAGGGTGAGCGCCATGGTCAGGGTTAGGGCTAGATGCCAGGCTGGGGTTATCATCAGCAGCCGCCCGGACTGCGAGTCGGCTGATTTTTTGCAGGTCGGGACCCAGGAAACGCGGCGACAGTGGACGTGGCACTGGCTGGATAGGTTGGGGAAACAATCCCGTCTCCCCTAAATTGCCCTACTTGGGTCGGCGGGGAGCGGGGAATGCACGGGCCTACGCCCCGTCGGACACGCTCCCCAGGTCCCGAAAGGCTGGCGGCTACTTCCGCCAGCTGAACCGTATTTGGTCTGGTGTGTATTAATTTGTAATGAAGTTCATGTAGTCCTATTTGACTTACTCACACATACACAATTCATACATGATCTATATTTGATCTATGTATCCCTACAATGTGCCTGCTGCGTCGACGTTTCGACCTAATTTGGTCTTCTTCAGGACTGGGCACATGTAACAGCTAAGGCTGCTGGGCCCCAATTCATAGGGGTGGACCAGCCAGCAGCCAGAAAGAAATGAAAAGCCCTACCAACTTGTCTCCCTTTTATATCCCCTCCGCCAAAAATTAGACTGAATTTACTTGTATTTAAGTTATTTTCTACTCTATTTAGTTTTTGAAATCTTAACCCTTTCTGCACCGCTTGTGCTTTAAATCCATATTAATTATGTTTATTCACATATTTGTGCTTTTAATAAACAAATTAATAGGTATTTTTGATCCCAATATTAGGGTTAGGGTCCTGCTTGACCTTTGACCTCTGTGGCCTGCTTGGCCGTTGGTCATTAAGTTGCCTCTAATGGTTAGGGTTAGGGCGAGTCCCAGGTTAGGGTTAGAATCCCATACTAGGGTTAGGGTTAGGGTTAGATTCCCAGGTTGGGGTTAGTGCTGGGGTTAGGGTTAGGGGTCAGCGCTATGGTTAGGGTTAGGGTGAGCGCCATGGTCAGGGTTAGGGCTAGATGCCAGGCTGGGGTTATCATCAGCAGCCGCCCGGACTGCGAGTCGGCTGATTTTTTGCAGGTCGGGACCCAGGAAACGCGGCGACAGTGGACGTGGCACTGGCTGGATAGGTTGGGGAAACAATCCCGTCTCCCCTAAATTGCCCTACTTGGGTCGGCGGGGAGCGGGGAATGCACGGGCCTACGCCCCGTCGGACACGCTCCCCAGGTCCCGAAAGGCTGGCGGCTACTTCCGCCAGCTGAACCGTATTTGGTCTGGTGTGTATTAATTTGTAATGAAGTTCATGTAGTCCTATTTGACTTACTCACACATACACAATTCATACATGATCTATATTTGATCTATGTATCCCTACAATGTGCCTGCTGCGTCGACGTTTCGACCTAATTTGGTCTTCTTCAGGACTGGGCACATGTAACAGCTAAGGCTGCTGGGCCCCAATTCATAGGGGTGGACCAGCCAGCAGCCAGAAAGAAATGAAAAGCCCTACCAACTTGTCTCCCTTTTATATCCCCTCCGCCAAAAATTAGACTGAATTTACTTGTATTTAAGTTATTTTCTACTCTATTTAGTTTTTGAAATCTTAACCCTTTCTGCACCGCTTGTGCTTTAAATCCATATTAATTATGTTTATTCACATATTTGTGCTTTTAATAAACAAATTAATAGGTATTTTTGATCCCAATATTAGGGTTAGGGTCCTGCTTGACCTTTGACCTCTGTGGCCTGCTTGGCCGTTGGTCATTAAGTTGCCTCTAATGGTTAGGGTTAGGGCGAGTCCCAGGTTAGGGTTAGAATCCCATACTAGGGTTAGGGTTAGGGTTAGATTCCCAGGTTGGGGTTAGTGCTGGGGTTAGGGTTAGGGGTCAGCGCTATGGTTAGGGTTAGGGTGAGCGCCATGGTCAGGGTTAGGGCTAGATGCCAGGCTGGGGTTATCATCAGCAGCCGCCCGGACTGCGAGTCGGCTGATTTTTTGCAGGTCGGGACCCAGGAAACGCGGCGACAGTGGACGTGGCACTGGCTGGATAGGTTGGGGAAACAATCCCGTCTCCCCTAAATTGCCCTACTTGGGTCGGCGGGGAGCGGGGAATGCACGGGCCTACGCCCCGTCGGACACGCTCCCCAGGTCTCGAAAGGCTGGCGGCTACTTCCGCCAGCTGAACCGTATTTGGTCTGGTGTGTATTAATTTGTAATGAAGTTCATGTAGTCCTATTTGACTTACTCACACATACACAATTCATACATGATCTATATTTGATCTATGTATCCCTACAATGTGCCTGCTGCGTCGACGTTTCGACCTAATTTGGTCTTCTTCAGGACTGGGCACATGTAACAGCTAAGGCTGCTGGGCCCCAATTCATAGGGGTGGACCAGCCAGCAGCCAGAAAGAAATGAAAAGCCCTACCAACTTGTCTCCCTTTTATATCCCCTCCGCCAAAAATTAGACTGAATTTACTTGTATTTAAGTTATTTTCTACTCTATTTAGTTTTTGAAATCTTAACCCTTTCTGCACCGCTTGTGCTTTAAATCCATATTAATTATGTTTATTCACATATTTGTGCTTTTAATAAACAAATTAATAGGTATTTTTGATCCCAATATTAGGGTTAGGGTCCTGCTTGACCTTTGACCTCTGTGGCCTGCTTGGCCGTTGGTCATTAAGTTGCCTCTAATGGTTAGGGTTAGGGCGAGTCCCAGGTTAGGGTTAGAATCCCATACTAGGGTTAGGGTTAGGGTTAGATTCCCAGGTTGGGGTTAGTGCTGGGGTTAGGGTTAGGGGTCAGCGCTATGGTTAGGGTTAGGGTGAGCGCCATGGTTAGGGTTAGGGCTAGATGCCAGGCTGGGGTTATCATCAGCAGCCGCCCGGACTGCGAGTCGGCTGATTTTTTGCAGGTCGGGACCCAGGAAACGCGGCGACAGTGGACGTGGCACTGGCTGGATAGGTTGGGGAAATAATCCCGTCTCCCCTAAATTGCCCTACTTGGGTCGGCGGGGAGCGGGGAATGCACGGGCCTACGCCCCGTCGGACACGCTCCCCAGGTCCCGAAAGGCTGGCGGCTACTTCCGCCAGCTGAACCGTATTTGGTCTGGTGTGTATTAATTTGTAATGAAGTTCATGTAGTCCTATTTGACTTACTCACACATACACAATTCATACATGATCTATATTTGATCTATGTATCCCTACAATGTGCCTGCTGCGTCGACGTTTCGACCTAATTTGGTCTTCTTCAGGACTGGGCACATGTAACAGCTAAGGCTGCTGGGCCCCAATTCATAGGGGTGGACCAGCCAGCAGCCAGAAAGAAATGAAAAGCCCTACCAACTTGTCTCCCTTTTATATCCCCTCCGCCAAAAATTAGACTGAATTTACTTGTATTTAAGTTATTTTCTACTCTATTTAGTTTTTGAAATCTTAACCCTTTCTGCACCGCTTGTGCTTTAAATCCATATTAATTATGTTTATTCACATATTTGTGCTTTTAATAAACAAATTAATAGGTATTTTTGATCCCAATATTAGGGTTAGGGTCCTGCTTGACCTTTGACCTCTGTGGCCTGCTTGGCCGTTGGTCATTAAGTTGCCTCTAATGGTTAGGGTTAGGGCGAGTCCCAGGTTAGGGTTAGAATCCCATACTAGGGTTAGGGTTAGGGTTAGATTCCCAGGTTGGGGTTAGTGCTGGGGTTAGGGTTAGGGGTCAGCGCTATGGTTAGGGTTAGGGTGAGCGCCATGGTTAGGGTTAGGGCTAGATGCCAGGCTGGGGTTATCATCAGCAGCCGCCCGGACTGCGAGTCGGCTGATTTTTTGCAGGTCGGGACCCAGGAAACGCGGCGACAGTGGACGTGGCACTGGCTGGATAGGTTGGGGAAATAATCCCGTCTCCCCTAAATTGCCCTACTTGGGTCGGCGGGGAGCGGGGAATGCACGGGCCTACGCCCCGTCGGACACGCTCCCCAGGTCTCGAAAGGCTGGCGGCTACTTCCGCCAGCTGAACCGTATTTGGTCTGGTGTGTATTAATTTGTAATGAAGTTCATGTAGTCCTATTTGACTTACTCACACATACACAATTCATACATGATCTATATTTGATCTATGTATCCCTACAATGTGCCTGCTGCGTCGACGTTTCGACCTAATTTGGTCTTCTTCAGGACTGGGCACATGTAACAGCTAAGGCTGCTGGGCCCCAATTCATAGGGGTGGACCAGCCAGCAGCCAGAAAGAAATGAAAAGCCCTACCAACTTGTCTCCCTTTTATATCCCCTCCGCCAAAAATTAGACTGAATTTACTTGTATTTAAGTTATTTTCTACTCTATTTAGTTTTTGAAATCTTAACCCTTTCTGCACCGCTTGTGCTTTAAATCCATATTAATTATGTTTATTCACATATTTGTGCTTTTAATAAACAAATTAATAGGTATTTTTGATCCCAATATTAGGGTTAGGGTCCTGCTTGACCTTTGACCTCTGTGGCCTGCTTGGCCGTTGGTCATTAAGTTGCCTCTAATGGTTAGGGTTAGGGCGAGTCCCAGGTTAGGGTTAGAATCCCATACTAGGGTTAGGGTTAGGGTTAGATTCCCAGGTTGGGGTTAGTGCTGGGGTTAGGGTTAGGGGTCAGCGCTATGGTTAGGGTTAGGGTGAGCGCCATGGTTAGGGTTAGGGCTAGATGCCAGGCTGGGGTTATCATCAGCAGCCGCCCGGACTGCGAGTCGGCTGATTTTTTGCAGGTCGGGACCCAGGAAACGCGGCGACAGTGGACGTGGCACTGGCTGGATAGGTTGGGGAAATAATCCCGTCTCCCCTAAATTGCCCTACTTGGGTCGGCGGGGAGCGGGGAATGCACGGGCCTACGCCCCGTCGGACACGCTCCCCAGGTCCCGAAAGGCTGGCGGCTACTTCCGCCAGCTGAACCGTATTTGGTCTGGTGTGTATTAATTTGTAATGAAGTTCATGTAGTCCTATTTGACTTACTCACACATACACAATTCATACATGATCTATATTTGATCTATGTATCCCTACAATGTGCCTGCTGCGTCGACGTTTCGACCTAATTTGGTCTTCTTCAGGACTGGGCACATGTAACAGCTAAGGCTGCTGGGCCCCAATTCATAGGGGTGGACCAGCCAGCAGCCAGAAAGAAATGAAAAGCCCTACCAACTTGTCTCCCTTTTATATCCCCTCCGCCAAAAATTAGACTGAATTTACTTGTATTTAAGTTATTTTCTACTCTATTTAGTTTTTGAAATCTTAACCCTTTCTGCACCGCTTGTGCTTTAAATCCATATTAATTATGTTTATTCACATATTTGTGCTTTTAATAAACAAATTAATAGGTATTTTTGATCCCAATATTAGGGTTAGGGTCCTGCTTGACCTTTGACCTCTGTGGCCTGCTTGGCCGTTGGTCATTAAGTTGCCTCTAATGGTTAGGGTTAGGGCGAGTCCCAGGTTAGGGTTAGAATCCCATACTAGGGTTAGGGTTAGGGTTAGATTCCCAGGTTGGGGTTAGTGCTGGGGTTAGGGTTAGGGGTCAGCGCTATGGTTAGGGTTAGGGTGAGCGCCATGGTCAGGGTTAGGGCTAGATGCCAGGCTGGGGTTATCATCAGCAGCCGCCCGGACTGCGAGTCGGCTGATTTTTTGCAGGTCGGGACCCAGGAAACGCGGCGACAGTGGACGTGGCACTGGCTGGATAGGTTGGGGAAATAATCCCGTCTCCCCTAAATTGCCCTACTTGGGTCGGCGGGGAGCGGGGAATGCACGGGCCTACGCCCCGTCGGACACGCTCCCCAGGTCCCGAAAGGCTGGCGGCTACTTCCGCCAGCTGAACCGTATTTGGTCTGGTGTGTATTAATTTGTAATGAAGTTCATGTAGTCCTATTTGACTTACTCACACATACACAATTCATACATGATCTATATTTGATCTATGTATCCCTACAATGTGCCTGCTGCGTCGACGTTTCGACCTAATTTGGTCTTCTTCAGGACTGGGCACATGTAACAGCTAAGGCTGCTGGGCCCCAATTCATAGGGGTGGACCAGCCAGCAGCCAGAAAGAAATGAAAAGCCCTACCAACTTGTCTCCCTTTTATATCCCCTCCGCCAAAAATTAGACTGAATTTACTTGTATTTAAGTTATTTTCTACTCTATTTAGTTTTTGAAATCTTAACCCTTTCTGCACCGCTTGTGCTTTAAATCCATATTAATTATGTTTATTCACATATTTGTGCTTTTAATAAACAAATTAATAGGTATTTTTGATCCCAATATTAGGGTTAGGGTCCTGCTTGACCTTTGACCTCTGTGGCCTGCTTGGCCGTTGGTCATTAAGTTGCCTCTAATGGTTAGGGTTAGGGCGAGTCCCAGGTTAGGGTTAGAATCCCATACTAGGGTTAGGGTTAGGGTTAGATTCCCAGGTTGGGGTTAGTGCTGGGGTTAGGGTTAGGGGTCAGCGCTATGGTTAGGGTTAGGGTGAGCGCCATGGTTAGGGTTAGGGCTAGATGCCAGGCTGGGGTTATCATCAGCAGCCGCCCGGACTGCGAGTCGGCTGATTTTTTGCAGGTCGGGACCCAGGAAACGCGGCGACAGTGGACGTGGCACTGGCTGGATAGGTTGGGGAAATAATCCCGTCTCCCCTAAATTGCCCTACTTGGGTCGGCGGGGAGCGGGGAATGCACGGGCCTACGCCCCGTCGGACACGCTCCCCAGGTCCCGAAAGGCTGGCGGCTACTTCCGCCAGCTGAACCGTATTTGGTCTGGTGTGTATTAATTTGTAATGAAGTTCATGTAGTCCTATTTGACTTACTCACACATACACAATTCATACATGATCTATATTTGATCTATGTATCCCTACAATGTGCCTGCTGCGTCGACGTTTCGACCTAATTTGGTCTTCTTCAGGACTGGGCACATGTAACAGCTAAGGCTGCTGGGCCCCAATTCATAGGGGTGGACCAGCCAGCAGCCAGAAAGAAATGAAAAGCCCTACCAACTTGTCTCCCTTTTATATCCCCTCCGCCAAAAATTAGACTGAATTTACTTGTATTTAAGTTATTTTCTACTCTATTTAGTTTTTGAAATCTTAACCCTTTCTGCACCGCTTGTGCTTTAAATCCATATTAATTATGTTTATTCACATATTTGTGCTTTTAATAAACAAATTAATAGGTATTTTTGATCCCAATATTAGGGTTAGGGTCCTGCTTGACCTTTGACCTCTGTGGCCTGCTTGGCCGTTGGTCATTAAGTTGCCTCTAATGGTTAGGGTTAGGGCGAGTCCCAGGTTAGGGTTAGAATCCCATACTAGGGTTAGGGTTAGGGTTAGATTCCCAGGTTGGGGTTAGTGCTGGGGTTAGGGTTAGGGGTCAGCGCTATGGTTAGGGTTAGGGTGAGCGCCATGGTTAGGGTTAGGGCTAGATGCCAGGCTGGGGTTATCATCAGCAGCCGCCCGGACTGCGAGTCGGCTGATTTTTTGCAGGTCGGGACCCAGGAAACGCGGCGACAGTGGACGTGGCACTGGCTGGATAGGTTGGGGAAACAATCCCGTCTCCCCTAAATTGCCCTACTTGGGTCGGCGGGGAGCGGGGAATGCACGGGCCTACGCCCCGTCGGACACGCTCCCCAGGTCCCGAAAGGCTGGCGGCTACTTCCGCCAGCTGAACCGTATTTGGTCTGGTGTGTATTAATTTGTAATGAAGTTCATGTAGTCCTATTTGACTTACTCACACATACACAATTCATACATGATCTATATTTGATCTATGTATCCCTACAATGTGCCTGCTGCGTCGACGTTTCGACCTAATTTGGTCTTCTTCAGGACTGGGCACATGTAACAGCTAAGGCTGCTGGGCCCCAATTCATAGGGGTGGACCAGCCAGCAGCCAGAAAGAAATGAAAAGCCCTACCAACTTGTCTCCCTTTTATATCCCCTCCGCCAAAAATTAGACTGAATTTACTTGTATTTAAGTTATTTTCTACTCTATTTAGTTTTTGAAATCTTAACCCTTTCTGCACCGCTTGTGCTTTAAATCCATATTAATTATGTTTATTCACATATTTGTGCTTTTAATAAACAAATTAATAGGTATTTTTGATCCCAATATTAGGGTTAGGGTCCTGCTTGACCTTTGACCTCTGTGGCCTGCTTGGCCGTTGGTCATTAAGTTGCCTCTAATGGTTAGGGTTAGGGCGAGTCCCAGGTTAGGGTTAGAATCCCATACTAGGGTTAGGGTTAGGGTTAGATTCCCAGGTTGGGGTTAGTGCTGGGGTTAGGGTTAGGGGTCAGCGCTATGGTTAGGGTTAGGGTGAGCGCCATGGTTAGGGTTAGGGCTAGATGCCAGGCTGGGGTTATCATCAGCAGCCGCCCGGACTGCGAGTCGGCTGATTTTTTGCAGGTCGGGACCCAGGAAACGCGGCGACAGTGGACGTGGCACTGGCTGGATAGGTTGGGGAAACAATCCCGTCTCCCCTAAATTGCCCTACTTGGGTCGGCGGGGAGCGGGGAATGCACGGGCCTACGCCCCGTCGGACACGCTCCCCAGGTCCCGAAAGGCTGGCGGCTACTTCCGCCAGCTGAACCGTATTTGGTCTGGTGTGTATTAATTTGTAATGAAGTTCATGTAGTCCTATTTGACTTACTCACACATACACAATTCATACATGATCTATATTTGATCTATGTATCCCTACAATGTGCCTGCTGCGTCGACGTTTCGACCTAATTTGGTCTTCTTCAGGACTGGGCACATGTAACAGCTAAGGCTGCTGGGCCCCAATTCATAGGGGTGGACCAGCCAGCAGCCAGAAAGAAATGAAAAGCCCTACCAACTTGTCTCCCTTTTATATCCCCTCCGCCAAAAATTAGACTGAATTTACTTGTATTTAAGTTATTTTCTACTCTATTTAGTTTTTGAAATCTTAACCCTTTCTGCACCGCTTGTGCTTTAAATCCATATTAATTATGTTTATTCACATATTTGTGCTTTTAATAAACAAATTAATAGGTATTTTTGATCCCAATATTAGGGTTAGGGTCCTGCTTGACCTTTGACCTCTGTGGCCTGCTTGGCCGTTGGTCATTAAGTTGCCTCTAATGGTTAGGGTTAGGGCGAGTCCCAGGTTAGGGTTAGAATCCCATACTAGGGTTAGGGTTAGGGTTAGATTCCCAGGTTGGGGTTAGTGCTGGGGTTAGGGTTAGGGGTCAGCGCTATGGTTAGGGTTAGGGTGAGCGCCATGGTCAGGGTTAGGGCTAGATGCCAGGCTGGGGTTATCATCAGCAGCCGCCCGGACTGCGAGTCGGCTGATTTTTTGCAGGTCGGGACCCAGGAAACGCGGCGACAGTGGACGTGGCACTGGCTGGATAGGTTGGGGAAACAATCCCGTCTCCCCTAAATTGCCCTACTTGGGTCGGCGGGGAGCGGGGAATGCACGGGCCTACGCCCCGTCGGACACGCTCCCCAGGTCCCGAAAGGCTGGCGGCTACTTCCGCCAGCTGAACCGTATTTGGTCTGGTGTGTATTAATTTGTAATGAAGTTCATGTAGTCCTATTTGACTTACTCACACATACACAATTCATACATGATCTATATTTGATCTATGTATCCCTACAATGTGCCTGCTGCGTCGACGTTTCGACCTAATTTGGTCTTCTTCAGGACTGGGCACATGTAACAGCTAAGGCTGCTGGGCCCCAATTCATAGGGGTGGACCAGCCAGCAGCCAGAAAGAAATGAAAAGCCCTACCAACTTGTCTCCCTTTTATATCCCCTCCGCCAAAAATTAGACTGAATTTACTTGTATTTAAGTTATTTTCTACTCTATTTAGTTTTTGAAATCTTAACCCTTTCTGCACCGCTTGTGCTTTAAATCCATATTAATTATGTTTATTCACATATTTGTGCTTTTAATAAACAAATTAATAGGTATTTTTGATCCCAATATTAGGGTTAGGGTCCTGCTTGACCTTTGACCTCTGTGGCCTGCTTGGCCGTTGGTCATTAAGTTGCCTCTAATGGTTAGGGTTAGGGCGAGTCCCAGGTTAGGGTTAGAATCCCATACTAGGGTTAGGGTTAGGGTTAGATTCCCAGGTTGGGGTTAGTGCTGGGGTTAGGGTTAGGGGTCAGCGCTATGGTTAGGGTTAGGGTGAGCGCCATGGTTAGGGTTAGGGCTAGATGCCAGGCTGGGGTTATCATCAGCAGCCGCCCGGACTGCGAGTCGGCTGATTTTTTGCAGGTCGGGACCCAGGAAACGCGGCGACAGTGGACGTGGCACTGGCTGGATAGGTTGGGGAAATAATCCCGTCTCCCCTAAATTGCCCTACTTGGGTCGGCGGGGAGCGGGGAATGCACGGGCCTACGCCCCGTCGGACACGCTCCCCAGGTCCCGAAAGGCTGGCGGCTACTTCCGCCAGCTGAACCGTATTTGGTCTGGTGTGTATTAATTTGTAATGAAGTTCATGTAGTCCTATTTGACTTACTCACACATACACAATTCATACATGATCTATATTTGATCTATGTATCCCTACAATGTGCCTGCTGCGTCGACGTTTCGACCTAATTTGGTCTTCTTCAGGACTGGGCACATGTAACAGCTAAGGCTGCTGGGCCCCAATTCATAGGGGTGGACCAGCCAGCAGCCAGAAAGAAATGAAAAGCCCTACCAACTTGTCTCCCTTTTATATCCCCTCCGCCAAAAATTAGACTGAATTTACTTGTATTTAAGTTATTTTCTACTCTATTTAGTTTTTGAAATCTTAACCCTTTCTGCACCGCTTGTGCTTTAAATCCATATTAATTATGTTTATTCACATATTTGTGCTTTTAATAAACAAATTAATAGGTATTTTTGATCCCAATATTAGGGTTAGGGTCCTGCTTGACCTTTGACCTCTGTGGCCTGCTTGGCCGTTGGTCATTAAGTTGCCTCTAATGGTTAGGGTTAGGGCGAGTCCCAGGTTAGGGTTAGAATCCCATACTTAGGGTTAGGGTTAGGGTTAGGGTTAGGGTTAGGGTTAGGGATAGGGTTAGGGTTAGGGTTAGGGTTAGGGTTAGGGTTAGGGTTAGGGTTAGGGGTTAGGGTTAGGGTTAGGGTTAGGGTTAGGGTTAGGGTTAGGGGGCTCCCCCGGCCCCCATGGATCACTAATTTGTGTTTAAGGTTTGTATTTGATTTGGTTTTAGTGTGTTGTGTTACATGATTGTTATTTCATTAATCTCTTTTTTTTCAGGTTTTTGATTGTTTTTGGACACACAAACACACAAACAAACAAACAAAAGGTACATGATCGACACATGAACTATGTACAGGTGGTGTGCATCGCGACGACGTTTCGACCCTGCTTGGGTCTTCATCAGGTCTTATGCACACATAAAATAAATGGCTGCTGGGCCCCAATTCATAGGGGTTATCCCAGCAAGCAGCCAAAATAAAATGAGAATTTCCTGTCCCCTTTTCCCTTTTGTATATCCTTGGAGCAATAATTAGACTTAATTTCCTCGGATATTTTTGGTTATTTTCAACTGTATTTAGTTTGAGAAAAGTTAACCCTTTAACTGCTGTTTGGTTTTTAATTAAATGATATATTTATCCTTTACCTGTGTTTAGGCTTAGACTGACCTAGGGTTAGGGTTAGGGTCAGTGTTAGGGTTAGGGTTCAAACTGAGGCTAGGGTTAGGCTAGGGTTAGGGTTAGGGTTAGGGTTAGGGTTAGGGGTTAGGGGTTAGGGTTAGGGTTAGGGGTTAGGGGTTAGGGTTAGGGTTAGGGTTAGTGGGGTTAGGGTTAGGGTTAGGGGTTAGGGTTAGGGGTTAGGGTTAGGGGTTAGGGTTAGGGTTAGGGTTAGGGGTTAGGTTTTTGGGTAAGTATCCCGTCTCCCCTAAGTTGCCCTACTTGGGCGGCGGGGGAGCGGGGAATGCACGGTCCTTCGCCCACCGGACACGCTCCCCCGGTCCTACAGGAAACACGACTTGTGCTTAATAAATGTTGTTGTTGACTTGGTTTTAATGTGTTGCGTTATTGTTTTTAAATAGTTTCCATTTTTTTAGGATTTTTTGTTTTTGTTTTTAAATAATTTCCAGTTTTTTAGGATTTTTTTGTTTTTTATATACACAACACACAAACAAACAAACAAACAAACAAACAATACATGATCACACAGGAACTATGTACATACATTGTGCGCTGCTGACGACGTTTCGACTCCTACTTGGGTCTTCACTGGGTCATGCGCACAAAAAAGAATGGCTGTCAGGCCCCAATTCATAGGGGTGTGTACCCAGCAGGCAGCCAAATAAATGAAGTTATCCCTGTTCCCCTCTCCCTTTTATACCCTTGGAGAAATAATTTACTGAATTTTCTTTAAATAATTTGTGTTATTTTGTACTCTATTTAGTTTCTGAATGTTAACCCTTTAGACGCTGATTGTTTTTTAATGCATGATATATTTATCTTATGTTAACCCTTTAGACGCTGATTGTTTTTTAATACATGATATATTTATCTTAATGCTGAGGTTAGGCTTCAAGTGACCCCCTAGGGTTAGGGTTAGGGCCAGTATTAGGGTCAGGGCTAGTATCCGAGGTTAGGGTTAGATCCTGAGGTTAGGCTTCAAGTGGGACCCCTAGGGTTAGGGTTAGGGTCAGTATTAGGGCTTGGGGCTAGTATCCGAGGTTAGGGTTAGATCCTGAGGTTAGGCTTCAAGTGACCCCTAGGGTTAGGGTTAGGGTGCAGTATTACGGTTAGGGTTAGTATCCAAGGTAGGGTTAGGGTTAGGGTTAGGGCCACGATTGGGGTTATGCGGCAAGCGCTAAGGTTAGGGTTAGGGTTAGCGCGATGGTTAGGGTTAGGTTAAGTGTA